ACTCCTGATAAAGTGTTAGCAATGTTTTTACATTAACACCAACCCCCTGCTAAAGCGCTAGCAATGCATATACGCTAAGACCACGCCCCTAATAAAGTATTAGCAATGTTTTTACATTAACACCAACCCCCTGCTAAAGCGCTAGCAATGCATATACGCTAAGACCACACCCCTAATAAGTATTAGCAATGCTTTTACATTAACACCTGCTAAAGTTATTCTGACAGTCCTATGCATTAGCATTAAGGGTGTAGCATACTACAGTATAGTCACAAATCTTCATTTTGGTGATGGATATGAGGATGGACGTGGATGTCTGGGAGGAAAGCCAAGTTCTGCTCCTCCAAAACATATGTAATAACCTTTGAAGGCCAAGGTTTCAAACCATGTTGAGACTATACTGGTACTAAGCGATTAAGATATGGTAACATCCAGCAAGTAAAGTATAATAATCTTACAGTTATGGCGCACGTTTCAAAATGTGCTTCTTTGGTTCCTGTCAGAATGTTTAGATTTTGGACACATTTTTTTTTAGCCTTGACTAAGAAAATTATTATGAATGTATTTATATTTTTAATCGATAAACAATGTCAGCCAAAGACAAGGATTCATTTCGAAGGCTAAATCTCAGGTTTCATTAAAGCTATTAGCATTTTTTTCTGGAGAATTAAAATACGCAGGCAGGTCTGACAGCCTCTGTGACTTACCCTTGGCCGAGGCTGCAGTGGAAAGAACCTGATGAATCTTCATAAGCTTCTGCCCTGAATTCTGTGTGTGAGTTTGTGATATTATTCTGTACTCAGAGTGCCCGGAACATTTTGTACAGTTTGTATTTTTATCAGTCCATTCCACTCAATCGACGCAATATAATCTGCTTTATTTATGAAGCCATTTCTGCATGTATTTAGCTGCAGTGTTGTGTCACAAATCACCTCTCATTTCTTGCAAATCACCAGCCACCATTGAAGCATGGACCCTCACCTTCCACGAATAAATTACATTCTGACCACAAGGAGCATAAGTGTTCTCGTCCCAACAGAGCGGATGCATTTATTTTTTTTATATTACCAGAACAGACAGTGTATCCTTCTCAGGCAGTAGTTTGTTGTGCATCCTGATTTTGTTTGACACGGTGATACAGGAAATTTCATATTAGACCACAAGAGTAGTGGTACTGGTTCATGAAATGGGTCCAGACCATCATTTATTGATCTAGAATGTTTTAGCAAGATTATAAGACAGAGGAAAACCGCATGGACTCTTCATCCTCATCTGAAAGTTGTTTATGCCTTCCACAGTCTCAGATTGTACACATAAGTAAGTATATACATTTCTGCATGCGTGCCCTGTGATCAGAGTTAGGTAATTCAGGTCCAGAGAGTAGAAGTCCAGATCGGGATTTTGTTTCAACCAACCAGTTGAGTACTCTGTGACTGTGACTCTTTATGCTTAACTGTTTGGTTGAAACAAAATCCTGGTCTGGACTTTTACTCTCTAGACCTGAATTGCCCAACTCTGCTTGTGATAGACTGGCATCCTATCTAGGATTCCCCTGTCCCGTGATTCCTGGAATAGGCTCCAGGCTCACTCTGATTGGGATAAGCAGTTGGATGGATGATGGATGGACCAACAGCAAAATCAATTCTTATTATTGTCCTCCTTAAGAAAGCATGTTGCCTGTTCTTGCCTATGCCGTTTTCTTACATACACTCTCTCACTGTATTGAGAACATTAATTTCCCCACCAGATGGTAGTAATAGTCCACGCAAGTAATAATTCTCTGCTCCCTTTTAAAATGATGATCTGCATATCTAAATTGAAACAGATTGCTGGGCCATAAATGTGGCTTCTAAAATACATTTATACATATTTTTAATAGCTACGGTAATCTGAGGTGTACTTCACAGTAAGTTTATATGAGCTCAAGAGTGCAAGATACAGGCTTAGATGACTTTTCTCATTCGCAAATGTTTACGCAGCCGAAGCTTAGCAAGCAGAATATCCAGGGCTTAAGCTACATGCAAACAAGCTCTGTTTATCGCATAAATATGACATTTTCCACAGTTATCAAGCCGTCTCTTAGTCCCACAGACACTGTCACTGAGTGGGAAGTTTATGCTAATTTATTGATTATCACGGACCCTCTGCATAATAATTGCGCTACCCCTATTGTAACGGATATTATTATTATCGCTCTCCTCCATCAGCGTGGAAAGCTGCATGTGCCGATATCCGACACAGACGCCCATAAAGAGAAATGAGCCGCTCGATACCACGTGACCTAATTTAGCGGATCTGCATATTCCCCAGAGTGCCTCGTACGGCTACCTGTGCACTTTGACCCGAGCGGTGCCCCGCCTCGCGCTCCCTGTCCTTCTTAATGAGGCTGCGGTAGGTTTCCCATGATGGCATCGCTGCTCGAATGACTGTCCCGATGACCCCAGCCTGCCAACAGCTGCCTGTGCATTATAAGCGATGCTACATGACATTCGGTATCATAGCGGTTTCCGCATCTCTTTATGGAAACTAATGAAATACAGATTCTTCTACTGTACCTGCACCTAATACTCCCTATAGAGGAAAGTCCTTAATTTTCAAACTGCACTGGGGGAGAGAATAAAGATATTGTGATTATAAATTATATAAATTATAACTGGGCATGCATTGTGCTGTACTGGGCGGCTCTGTGAGTAACACTGTGGCTCCAGGGCTCAAGGTTAAATCCTGCCTTTCTGTGTGGGCGTGGAGTCTGTGTTTTCTCCCGGTGTCTCAAAGGGATTCCTCTGGGTACTCGGGTTTTCTCCTGCATTGGGATGACATGCAGTTAGGTTAATTGGCATCTGTGAATCATCTGCTGTGTGTGTGTTCTGTGAGGGACTGCATTCCCATCCAGAGCTGTGCCCTGTACTGCTTGGGACAAACTCCAAGCTCCTCTGTGTCCCTGATCAGGAGAAGATGGATGGATGGGATATGCTGTGAATTTCAACCTTTGAGACGAGGAGGTGGCTCTGGTTGATGTGCAGTGAACCTGTCAAATAACCATAAAAGCAAAATAATTTCAAAGATTTTTCAGTTAATTGGTTCACCCAGGTAAAGCAAGGAGCAAATCTGCATGCCTTTCAGCCAAAAAAGGGTAGCATTTTTATTTAACGGGTGGATACTGCTGATTGTCATGGGTATAATAAGCTTGTTTTTTATTTCTCACTCTTCTAAAATGCAAGCAAACACCAGACTGGTACAAATCCCATATGGTTAAATATGTGGTAATGCAGTCCAACACTCTCAGAAAAAAGGGGGAAAATTTGTACCTTTGCTTGACACTGGGGCTGTACCTTCAAGGGTCTGCCATTTGTACCTTTAGCAGTAGGTAATTGTACCTTTAAAGGTACAGAAATGTACCATTGATGGTACATTAATGCTGTTGTACCTTTGGGATGTTCCTCAGAGTCAATTTATGTACCATAAAAGGTACAATTATAGAGGTACAGCCCCAGTGACAAGCAAAGGTACAAATTTTTACCTTTTTTTCTGACAGTGAAGCTGTGTTGGGCTGCTGTTTCCTGTGATGTGGTTGTTTATGGTCACATGAATCTTAAAGGCATATGGATACACTGAGAGTTACGGGTCAGTTAAATCTCCTGGCTTAGTACTTCTGGGTTTGATGTTTTCTTGTTTCCAGTCTCATTAATTGAGTAGCAGAGATTGCACCTGTAACTTATAGAGCATTGCCTATCCCAGTTATACATATCTTACAGGTGTCATAAGCTCAGAAAGACCAGGCTTGACGATGCTCTATATGGAAAGGGTCCTGAGTGCACGGTGGAGTGGCTCTGTAAACTCTGGACATGAGCGTGCACTGATGAAGGTGTGCATTCTCATGTCTGCACCTTTGCACGGGCCACTGATGTCTAATTATCTGTGTTTTTTTTCTAGGCAGCCAGGCCTGGGGGCTGTCGCTTAGAGCTTTCGCTTGAATAGCTTCAGAAGATGCTTCGCAAATCCAGGACAGCCTGATATCGACGTCTCTTAGCAGTAAAACAAGGCCAGGTAACAAAGGCCTAGGGAAGGTCCCCCAGTCTCTTGCACTCCTCCTGGTTCAGGAAGCAGAATGCCCCATCATCAGCGGAGCTGAGATCTATTTCATAACACAGCTGTCCTGCACTTGTCCACTGTAATAACCAATGTGTCTTAAATTCTACACTGCTAGGTGGTCAGAGCCTGGCTTATAGTCGCCTGCCTCATGCTATTCTCTAACTGTCATCTTCTCCCACCTTCCCTTATTACACAGTCCACTGGCAGAGTGTTGGCAGTGCCTGGGAAAAGTAAAGGTGAGCTTGATTTGCAGGAGAGATCAATGCGCGATATGCCTGTGAAATAGTAGCTTGTGGGTGGTTCACCTCTGTGTAGGGGGTGAATCTGAGGCAACTGGGAGACAGAAGTGGAGCCCTCATCTGTTTGTAGTGCAAGGGGATGAGAGGGGATCTGGATACCGAATGTCAGAGAGCGGATTGGCTGTGAGTCTATGATGGATCAGAGCCTCTGGGTCCTAGAGACCTCCTGTCTCCCATCATCATATCCAAACTCATCCTCCGCTTCTCCCAACTTATTCAGGAGTTGGTTTGAAGTAGAAGCTGTAAACAGTAACATATAGAAAAGCCATAGTTGTAGCCCTAAAAAAATCGCTAGCCCCAACTAGCAAGTAGCAAATTGAATTTATGGCAGATATAGCAATGTGTGAGGCATTTGTGCAGATATCACAGCAACCCTTTTGGGAAATGACCTGTGGCTAATTTAGTTTTTGTTGGCGTCAGGAATACGAATGCTTTGTTTCTGTTAACATGACGCAGACATCACTTTCGCCCTAATGACTCCATGTGTCATGAACACGGTAAATGTAGCAGGAACCGTAATATTATGTGTGAAGCCATGATATCTCAGGGAAGTCAATGATAATTGGAAGAACAATCAGTTTCACTCACTTGTGTTCTGTGGCAGTTTATGAAGTAATTCTTGTGTTTTTACGCACCATTACCGGGCAAACTATGTGGCACATCATGCCTTTGCTACGCGGCAGTTCACGAATAGAAACGATATGGAAAAGCATAAGCGACAGACTCAGTTATGTAACTCTCATGGATGTAATCTCCTACTGTATTTTGAAAGCACGTAGACGACTACAGTTTGGCCACTGAAAGCTTTAAATGCTGACTGTCCGACATTGATTCACATGAAGCCTGGCGTAGGAGGTCTGACCCAGTACACTGATGGGCTCGCAAGGTCAGTGGGGCTTTTTACCATACACAACTGAACATGAAAACTAAGCACGCCTGAAGTGTAGCTGGGCCAAAATAAGTAATGTGGAAAAAATAGGAATTGATACTGATGGACTCAAAATCAATTTTTATTTCATGTTAGTCCTGTAACTAGCTTGCAGAAGCAATGAAGGGACCCAGAATCCATACATCGCTGGGTATCTACTTTTCGATTGAATGTCCTACCGTTTTAGGATTTATTAGAAGTGTGAAAATTAAAGTCCTTGACACGCTTCAAGGCATCGTGCAAAAGTCCCAGTCACAGATAAACAAACTCTTTATAAGGCACATGGTGTATGGTTTTATATTCTGCAGAATATATTATTAATAATTTGAAATAAATTTGCATTTATAGCTGCCATCATATTAATTCATCTAATTATTGTTTTCGTCTGTTTAACAGAAGCGGGGCTGTGTCAGCGTGTCTAGGGCATTTTCGGCGTTTGCCTTCGTAGGTGGATGATTATGCGGAGTGTTTTACCACAATGCGGGCATGTTCGTGAAAGTTTGAGACCCAGTGAGGAATCTTATCCTTCAGACGGTGCTTCTGAGCTGTAGTGACTGGCAGCAACACCACCCCCCGGCCCGCCTCCCCCGCCTCGCAGGAGCGTCAACTGGGGGGACCCAAAGTGTCTCGCTGCTCTCTGAGAAACCGCCTGTCACGCCTGTATGACAAACTAAATGAAATTCTCTTTTCAAATGAGAAGCCAGATGTGGGGGCGGGGGGGGGGGGGGGGATCACGGTTTTGGGGCGGCTGGTGAACACTGGCCCGTTCACGCGACTTGCCGACGCGGCCGGGCAGAACGCGTAGAGCACGGCTCCTTTCCCCGAGCGAAGTTTCTCAATGTCATCGAATGGGGCTCGTCATTTCGTAACCTCCCCGCGTCCCAGTTTGAGCCGTCCTCAATTGTGCTGGTGGTCCCTCCGAGGGACTGGGTCTCCGAGTCTGAGCCCCTATTAATAGACATATACTTGTCTGCACTACTTTGTAAGTCTTTTGTGGGACCTCCATATACTTTTAAGAAATTAGATTAGGAGTCAGATTGGAAGCTGACGGCAGCTCGCCTCTGTCTTGAGTGTAGGGTGCTGACCCCACGAAAAGTAAGGGGGGCATGGTAGGTAAGGAGCTGATGGGCCCAGTTTTGCATTAAATACCCTTGTATTGGGGAGGTTCCACTTATATATCACTTTTATGCACAGAAAAGAATCTGGGGTCACACTCGCCTCCTCAATTCTTGTCAGGGCATCCTCTTGACTTTGAGGTGTTGTTACCCAATGCTGGTGACCAGATATTCGCCGGTACCACTGGCCAAACAGCGCTTGTCATCCCATTGACACCAATTGACATTTACCATTAGAGTCCCTCGATCATTCACCAACTGCCCGCACTTTGAATAAATGTCAAAAAATGTCAGATGCCCATGGCTGCCCCACTTATTTTCAGGGAAAAAGGGGCCTTTTTTTGCAGTTTGTCTGTTTTGGTATGTCTGATGTCATAGGCCGGGAGTGGGCCAATCACGGCTGGCCAGCTGCATGCTGTGGCCTCCATGATAATATCGAAGCATGGGACAGGACTTGGGCGTTAATGAGCTCGCTAAATTTGGACAGAATAGCTTATTACTTTCAGACATCAGACACAGTCTGAATTTATGCTGAAGCAAAACACATCTCCTTCCAGCAGAGGAAATTAGCTTTTGCTACCGTTAAACATCACACTGAAATTAAATGAAAAGTATTGCTCGATAGACACCAGCAAGAGTTTAAGCCATCTTCCTGGTGTAATATCATCAGTTTAATTAGTTTGGGGAAAAAAAAGTGTGCCTAAAACGTGTCCCTGTGATGAAACGCAAACTTTGAGCGGCGCGAGAGGAATGCAGAAGGGAGGTGTGCAAGAACACTCTCTCATACACGCGTCAGTCGTCACAGCGAAAAACAAACCGGCACACCACTGAACTTGTAAGGGCAGCTTAAAGTCTGATCTGTGTATTCTTTTTAGACTTAACTCTGGTCACACTGCACCTCTGGCATTTAGAATACAGGGCATGATTGCTGCAAAAACATACATTCTAGAATGTATTTGAAATATATTATATACACACTTATGTGTCTGTTACAGAAAGGTGCTCGAAATGTTTAAAAGGGAGTACATTTGAAATATGCATTGCCTTCAGACATTGTGACAGTAGGGTAAACAGAACACAAAAAGGAAAGATGGCATCGTTTCCAGGTAGTACTGGGAATTTACATTTCAATGAGGGACGTGTTTGATACTCGCTTCCAGCTCCCAATGGGCCCTATTTGACTCACAGAATCAACATCAGGGGTCTGATGCTGCTCTTTCAGATTGATGGTGGGTACCAGTAAACAGGCAGTGGAACTCCAGCTATTTCCTTACAGTGTCCTAGTGGGGGGGGGGGGGTTGAAGATGGAGGGCAGAACCCTCTTCTGTTACATCCCCCCCAAGGGTTCACAGACAATCCAATCACCAAGGTCTGGACCAGAAGAGATACACCTGTGGCTCGAGGGGCCGCTACGTATCAATTCCCGTGGCAGATCTGCCCATTCCTGAAGTCCCAGTTTCCTGTCCTCCCCCTGTGAGCTGCATTAAGCTGCCAGCTACCCACAGGTCTTACACAATACTCCTGTCAATCATAAAGTGAAGAGAAAGTTGGCGTTTAACAGCAGCAGGACCATGTAATGAGGCATAAATAAGGTCTGGTTACTTCCTGTTCACCCCTGACTGAGATGCTTGGCTTTGAATGTGCTTGATAGAGAGAGAAGCTTACCGCTCTCTCATCACATTGCCATCGAGAGCCTACAGGCCATGACACACACGTTAAAGAGGGACCCATCCCCATTCAAGGGGGGTCATTTAATAGTGTCATCATCTGGAACCCCAGTGGTTTTGAGTTGAGGATGAATGGCAAATGGGAATCCTACCAGCAAGCAGTCAGGTTCCCACATAAGCCGGCGATGCTTCCAAAAGCTAACGAGAGACTAGACCTTCAGCAGCAAGTTCCTCGTGGAGCTCCAGCATGCTGAGTGTCCGGTGAACCGGGGCAGTAGCTCTGTGGTTTGCATTACGGACTCCTGTGCCCGTGTCTAAAAGGTAAGCGGTCCAAGTCCTCCGGCTAGAAGAGTATCCAAGTCACCGCTGGGCCCTTAAGCAAGGTCCTCAAGCCTGAAAACGGCTCTGCGGTGTTAAAGAAATAGCTGAACCCTGTGCTCTGACTCCATGCTTCACTCTCACCTGTGTTTCTGTGTGTCTCATAGGGCAGTAAGACAGGAGCGGAGTGTGAAGCCCCATGGAAGGCAGAGTGACACAAGGGGGCAGTATGGATGCTGCTGTATGACCCACCCTCAGCCTGGTCAGAATCACCAGCAGCCTTATTTATGGGGGACAGTTCCCCTGTGAGTAACAGGTCTTCTGTCTGGATTTAAGCACTGAGACTGGGCGGGGCATCCCTCGCATACGCTGGCTGCCTCAGGCCCCCCCGGCTGAAGGTTTTACTGCTAACAGCCTCTTTGGTTATATACAGGTAGGTCTGCATTGCCTGATCTCAGAGAGCGGTCTGCATGGTACGCTATGGGCAGATGCCTTTTGTGGCCCGGGCAGCGAGCCATGTCAGTGCCAGGACAGAGCCATTGGAATTAGAGTAACGTACGTGTGGTAAGGAGCTGGAAGCAGACCCTTGGTAATGGAAATGGAATGGTAGGTCTGTGATGAAAATTATACCAAGGTTATGAAATCGGGTTAGCTGTATTGGGTTTCAGAGTTTGACCCCCCCCCCCCACCCCCACCACACCAACCCTACAGAGCTCCACACAGTGAATAATTACAGTAGATTGAGTTCATGTTGACAGGGCTCCAGACAGAAGATACCACCGTACATGCCAGACTGGCTGCAGTCTGAGGCATTAAAGATTGGGGAATCATGTTGATGTCTTCTGGCCAGGCTTCTAAAATCCGTATCAGTGTTTCTCAACCCGATCCTCGCGGACCCCCAGGCCGTCCACATTTTTTGCTCCCTCCCAGCTCACTCCCAGTGTCTCCCAATACGCCTGAACCAAACCTTCCAGAATCCAGAACACCGCATAACTGGTACAGGTGTGCTGGGAGGGATCAAAATCGCGGACTATCTGGAGGGCCCCCGAGGGTGGGGTTGATAAACACTGATCTGCATTAGCTCAGCTGGATGAGTATGAGCTCAATATACCATGGTATATTCTTCAGTGGTTCCTACAACATGGTCAACAATGATGTTTTCTCAGTGTGAAGCTTCTTCTTCCTCCCAGCTTGTCTGCCCTCCTACAGAGAAACTGACATACTGTCTTCTGGCTGCAGGACTCAGTCACACAGATGTTTGCGGTGGAGCGTGAGGCTAAAGGCTACGTTACATTAAAATGCACATCTGCTGATTCTCCTGAACTCCAGCATTGCTCTCCTGAGGCACATGTCCTGTCAAAAAACAGTGCATCCCTTTTTGTTCCCCTCAAATTGGGTTGTTCTTCCTCCATCCGTTTTTTTTCCCTTTGTCTTAACACAGTGTTAACATTTAATTTAACGTTAATTTAACTATATGTATGGGGAAGCGTATGGATGTTTTGTTCATGTGTTGTCTCTCTGTATTTGTATGTATGTTTGTGCAAGAGTTGGAAAAAAAGGATTAAAAGTAAATGAAAAAAAAAATGCCTTACAATACGAAACGGTCAGCTATAAAGCAATGATTATTCAATTAGCTGTACTCAAGTCTCGAAATACATGCAATTTGATTCTGAGTAAATTAGCAGCCCACTGCTTCCCTCAGAAGTATTTTCCAAAGAAAATCCAATCAGAGGGATGTTTCGCAGCCATACACTTTGCTGACGCATTGCCATAATGTACATCACGCAATGGATCTTAACATGAGCACTTTGCATGAGATTATGAAGATACCACAACCACAGGGACCTGAACAGAAAGCCCAATGTTCTTAAGAGCTGGTAGAGCTGTGACCTCATGCCTTCATGGTTGTGGGTCCAATCCGGACCCCGGCTATATGTGTGCGGATTGTGTTCTCCTGCGGTTTGTGTGTGTTTCTTTTGGCTACCCCAGGTTCTGTGCCTGGTCACATGACACACAACCTAGGTGAATTGGTGACAATGATCTTAACATGTCATTGGGTTTGTTCTCTGTGATGGACTGGCGTCCGGGTTCTGCTCACAGAACATATTTTAGATTTCGCACAACACTGCTTTTGATAGGTGATTCTGCAAAACGGAGAGATTAGATGAGTATTATTTAACATAGATTCAGTGAGATGTGCAATGCATGTAGTACAAGATAATTCTGTGTAATTGGCATTTGACTGGCTTGTCATGAAAAATTTGGTTAAATAAGTACATGAGAGTTCAGCTATTGAGGCAGTTCAAACTGTATCAGTTGAGCAGTAATTTAAATGTTAATTTCCTTTTTTTTCTTATAAATGTTAATTTCTTAGCACCAGTGAGAAACTGGAGCCGCAACCTCACTAATGAGCTCCTGCACGCCAACATTAGCGCCCAACGCCAAGTGCAGGTAAGCAGTCTTTAGGTAACCTTTACCTGCACGAGTGACGACAATGACTCATAAGGACACTCACACCTGAGAGTAGGTACAGTAAAGTGACATTATGCTTTTTGAACCCTGGTTTGTGAAGTTGGTTTGAGAGGGAGGATTTTAAACTCCAGTCAAATCAGCCGTCATAAATAACACATGAGTTACTCACACATGCTCTTGTTACTACAAGCCCGAATCCCACAATTGTTCCATATATGTGGAACATACAACAAAACATGCAGTTAAACTAATAGGTGTAGCTACTAGTTGCCTGTGCTCCAGACCCTTGTGACACTGACCAAGATAAGCAGTCAGAAAATGGATAAGCCCACATATACACTCAATGGAGTTTTACTTACAAAAAAATGTTCTGAGAGCAGAGTGAAAAATGATTTGTTCAGAGGGATAACCAATCAGATTGTAGAGGAGGTGGGACCAACCAATCAGATGTCTTGGGCCCGCCATGAGCCACATATGCAAATACGAGGAGGGTGGCCTGAAACACATGTAATTAATTGTGCCTGTGAAAGATGCAATAGTCACGGACATTTTCCTCTATCAAAGCTGAGAAGATGGCATTGCTGATTTGTCTTCAAGGCAGTCGCTCAGAAAAACAGCCATCGATAAGATGGAGCAAACCACAGAGATTAAATGCTTGGAAGGCGTCTCCCTCAAAGGAATGAGCGCTTTGATGGTACTTGCAGCGTTAGCTGTCTGTGTAGAAATCTGCTCATTAATGTCTGTTATCAAAGGGACGTAGGCAGAGAGATTCCCGGCTGCACACATTAGATTTCAATTAAAAATATATATATAAAATAGTACAATATAAAAGGTATGTACAGTGTCACGTTCAGCTCCGAACGCTCCTCGTGTGTGCCACGCCCCCTCATTACCTCCTGTCGGACTCCTGATTGTCGTCACCTGTTCCCTATTCCGTTTGCCTTGTCTTATGTATTTAGTCCTAGTCTCAGTCAGTCTTCCCGAGATTAGTCATTATAGTGTCATGTACTGTTGGTGTAGTGTCCGTAGGTGTCCGTGCCTGTCCGTATTTCCCCCAATAAACCCCATTTACTCGTCTATCTGCCTGCTCTCGCCTGCTTCCACGGCTCGCTTGCCCCGCAACGTGACATACAGTGTGCCAAGACACAAAGTTCATTATACTGAGGAATTGCCAAAGGTAAACTTCATGTATTCATTTGTTTGTTTGTTTATTAAAATCCTGGAGCGTAAGTGTCTACACTGCTGAGGTTAGGGCGGGCGAGTGGCGTAATATGGGAAACAGTAAGCAGAGTCCCACTGGCAATAAAATCTATATTTCAGTCGCATGCAGCACATGCTGTGAATATGCTCCACATCCTTTTAAGCCCGTGTGCTGTGAGATGGAAGTGCACGTTCCCCAGAAAAGGGATGTGGCTTTGCTGGACGGTTTCTCATCGACCCCTCAAACAACCCCCCCCCTCCACCAGCAGACAGTAGTGCTCTCTGAATGTCTGCCTGGTTGCGGTGCTCTCGGACAGTCTGGTAGAGATGAAATTTGTTCTGCATGGTGGGGGCTGCTCTAAGATCACAGGGCGCGTCCTCTCATTCCCCATGGCAAACACGGCCATGCTTCTAGCCATGAGATTTCACAAAAGCAGCAGCAGCACAGCCAAGCATGTGGCGGGGGGGGGGGGGGGGGGGATCTGAAGGAAACCGGAATCGTTTTTCTGAATTGGATCTTTTTTTCTGAGACCCTAGCAAATTTGGCTTTTAGGTGCAATTTAACATGTTGTGTCTGAATCAGATGCTAAATTGGATTGCATCATTGTTTCATTGTACGAAGCCCGGACATGGGGAGTTATTGGTGAGGCGGGCACACAGAGAGGGGTCATATTCCCGGCATAGCGAGACTCATCACCCACTCTCAAGCCCTGACAGAAATTCTAGACCAATCGAGCCACAGAGCTCTAAACTCCGAAGCTTCTGATTGGACGAAAAGTAGGTGCTGTTACTTCCCGGAATGCATGGGAGCCCACTGTGGCTGGTTGAGGAGGTGAGACGGCCGTGTGGGTCGCCCAGAGGTGCCAGCGGCAACAGGGTATCATGGTAGCTAAAGAGCCTATTAGTAAAGTGGAACATTGAAAATGGGGCTCTTGCTAGCTCAAAAAAATATGAAGACAAGTTCAGCAAGCATTTTAAAGGTGCTAAAGTATCAAATATACCTCCGACAATACCTCTGATGTGAACACAGGCTATTTACACTTAGGGAGGGGGCTTCTGGCATGTCTGCATCCGCCCCCGTTCTTTTAAATACAAGTTTGAAACAATCCAGGTCAGTCACACTTCATTACCAGGAAGCATGTTGTTGTTTGGGACTTGGCAAGACGTTGTTGAAATGTCAAAACCACGTCAAATGAACTAACTCACAAATGAAAAAAACTATACATGGAAATTTGGGACAGTAATAAAAAAAGAAAGAAATCTTGAATACATCATGTTCTTTTCCTGGGTGTAAATAGGGGTGATGTGTGGCTCTGTGGGTTAGTGCCAGTGATCAGAAGGTTGTTGGATCAAATCCCCCGGCTGGCAGAGTTTTGTCACCATTGGGCCCATGAGCCCTTAACCCCTAATGCTCCAGGGAGATTCTTACCCTGCTCTCTGATCCTCACTTATATGTCATTTTGGACGAAATCTGCTTAATGCATAAAAATAAGTGTTAGGGTTCCAGCAGCACAGTTGTAGAGCTTGCAATTTCAAATGATTGTAAGAAGGAGGAACATCAGGCACTTCAAAAGAGAAAACGCCTCCCCTCCCCCTCCCCCTGCAGTACACAGTGGGCTCACTGTCCAAGGCTGAGTGCTTCTTAAGAAAGGAGATGGGCTGGGGATTTTATGCAATAAAATTCACAGAGATGTACTCTCACTCCTGTAAACCAGGAATGCCAGGAACTGCACTGGCCGATCTGCATAAGCTCTTTGCTGTTCCTGCGGGGGGGGTTAGCACTTGTGACAGTGGTGACATTATCAGCAGAATGACAAGATGCACCCAGAGGCCTCCGGTTTGAACATGACCCCGGAACGGTGTCCACGTCCTTCCTTACCTCGCTCGCAAAGGACAGGAAACGAAGTCCTCTGGGGCCACACAATTCTTCCCACATCATGATGAATAAACCACTGGCTTTCATCCATTATTCACTGGAACAAATGCACT